TATTTATTTATATATATAAATAAATAAAAAGATATAAATAAATATAATTAACCCACCCGTTCCTCCACCACCCCCACCCTACCACTCCGGCGACCGCTCCGGTGCCGATTCCGGCGACTACTCGGATTCCGGTGATCGTTTCGGCGACTGCTCCGATTCCGACGACTCAGGTCACGAGTCACAGTTCAGGTCACAACTCAAGTCACAAGTCACAGTTTGGGTCACAAATCAGAATTTTGTTCATAATCACGAGTTATTTTTATTTTATTTTTTTTATAAAGATCACAGGTTATTTTCAAATGATCACAGGTAAATTTTTCGGTGACAACTTAATTAGTTTTGAGTCACAATTCGAATTTTAAGGGTCAGGTTAACTAATTAGTCACAGGTCAACTATTGGATCATGTACCACCATCACCTCCAAATGTCTCCACAACCACCGCTCCGGCGGTCACAATTAGTCCAATTATACGGTCCTAGTTGATTACGAAACACAACACAGATTCAAATGACTGCCGCCCGCACAGATTCAAACAACTGCTGCTCAATTGCCTCGAAATTTGATCCCCAAAGTCACGACTATGGCAGTTCCATTAAATTACACAAATTAGCATACACAAATAACACAAATCAACAACTGCCACCACCTACCGACGTTCAAACCCTAATTCCTACTCCCTTCATCCTAACACCAACGCGTGGCGGCGGAAGCAACGCTGCTACAAACACAAAGCTCAACAAAAATGGTGAAGTTTTGAAATCGAACAAGGCAGTGGTCTTCCGAAGGGCGGTTCACAGCCACAAAGCCACCATTGTAAAGAACTTAGATGACGGCACCCACGATCGTCCTTCCAGCCATTGCTTTGTCATGTGTGAAGGCATTTGTCAACCAAGAAAATCAAATGGCAGCGATAGCAGCAGCACCCCAAAATCAGATCTAGAACCACACCCCCCAAATTAGAGCCTCTGCGTGTCATCATCGGCGTGAGTAGCCGCTGCGTCGCACGAAATCGCAGTCGCTATAGCACACCACAGATCGCTGCCGACGGTGGTGGGCAAGTTACTGCCATCGTGTGATCTCGAGAAGTATTGCTCCGGCGGGCGATGGTACGTGAAGTTTGTGGGTATAGTGCCGGTGGGCCAGTGGGCGACGCGATCTGTGGGTATGGTGGTTGTACTTTCGGTGGGTATGGTGGCGGCGTGGAGAGAAGCCCCTTTCCACGCCGCCGTGAGAGTGAGAGAGAGAGAGAGACTGGAGAGAGATGAGTGAGAGACGTCAATTGGCTAGTCAATTAGGGTTGAATATTAATTTAGGTGTATATATTTTAAGTTTCATAATATTATTATTAATATTTAATTAAATATTAAAAACTTGTATCTATCTATAAAACATCTGATTTTTGAATATTAAAACTTGATATCTTATTTTTGTATTTTAAAATCTGTATCTATATATAAAATATTTGATTTTTGAAACCTAAACCTTAAAATCTGATTTTAGAATTTTGATCTCCAAAAGTAGGGGATGGTGTAATTTTCACTTTATTTTTTTGAACTTGAACGTTGTACTTTTATTTCACGAAGTATAATAAAGAGACATGTTTTTAAAGAAATGAAAGGTTGTAAGAATTCTTATGGAAAATTTTGTATGTGCATCATTTCAAAAAAAGATTACATAGTTTACTATGTTACATTATTAAAACAAAAAATACTAGATGACACACGAAATATGTTTACATATACTTCCATCTAAAAATAGATCATCCAACATATTTTGTAATTGATCCTTTTTTAATTCAGCCTAATTTCATGTTTTCCATTAATGCCATTTCTTAAATTGAATAAGCAATTCAAAAAAAAAGATGATGGCAAAAAAAATCATATTTTTAAACGGATTTCGGATTGCATACACAGATACATACACCATTATGGAATAAATTGAATTTTCAGATAATATTAAGGCACAATTATATTGAAGCAATAATGTAGATTTTCATATACAAATTCATGGTGTCTTTAGTACGATTTCACATCATCAAAAAAAAATTCTGAAACATATCCACTCACAGTGTATATCCATACACAAAAAATCTATGTATGTGTGTGTGTGTGAGAGAGAGAGAGAGAGAGAGAGAGAGGGGGGGGGTGTGCATTATTATTTGCGTTAGATCTATAGAAAAACGAATTGGTGTGTAGATTTTGGAATTTTTTGGTGGATGATTATAGGGAGAGACGATTTGGTAGAGATTTTGGTCTGAAATACGAAAAGACACAATTTTAGAAATTTTATGATTAATTTGACATGTTAAGGATTTGTTTGTTGAAGCATAATTTAAGGATGCGTTTGTTGGAGTAAAATTAGCCAAGTAATGTATTAGCCTATATAATTTGGTTAGTTTTCTACATTTCTATTTTACTAGATAAAAATAGTATTTATGATTAAAAAAAGTTCCATAGTATATTCTAAATATTTATTAAAAAATAGGTACGTTGCATAATTTCCTCAAATCCATATCCTTTGTTTGGACTTCCAACCGACTACAATATGTACACACAAGTAAAATTGTAAACTAGTGAATATTTCATGTACAATTAAAAAAAAAAAAAAACAATAGATACAATTTAATAACGAATAAAGAAATGAAAAATATACTTACAATTCTATCTTCGTAGTTTGCAACTGCACATTTGAAAATATGTCACGAAGCCCACATTGATCTTTTTGAAGTCATTGACACACATAAGCATGTGTTTCTATTTGAAATGTACATGAGTTACATCTCAATCTAACATATGATCTAGACCTTATGTCTTGTAAGTGCTGATAAAGTCGTGACATCAATGAACAAGTTCCAACTTCCAAGTTATACTAGATACTATTGGATATTGATATTGCTGTGCATTCCACCATTGACTTAAATTAAAGAAATCGGCCCCTACTAATGTCTTGTCCCATGTAGATGCTCCAAGCATATGTGTTTCATACATTTCAAACTTATTTCAAATAAGTACTTACTTTGATTTCATTATTGTTTTTTTTTTTTTTTGTCTAATGCTAATTCCAAATTTTGTTTTTAAGTTTTTAATGAAAAGCTTGAATTTTAGGTTTAAAATAGTGGTAATAGGTAGGTTTTATGGTTAGCAAAACAATTGAAATCCTAATATTAAATTCAAGCAAAATAATTTGAACGCGATTTTATGTAATTTTTTTTTTTAAATTTGAACATTTTTTTTTTTTCAATTTCAAAACTCCAATTTCTAGTAATGAAACAATGCATAACTGCATTTAGGTATGCGAGCAGTGTACATATAAGGTATTTAATATCAAATTGCAAATACAAACAAAAATTGAACTGCCAGGCTCAGCCACAATACCATATCTCTTTGTATCATTAATATTTGAGCCACAAATTAATGGGTGATAGAAATTTATTTTATCCCATGGCATTGTGTCATCATTCTATCTATTGAGCATAACCCAGTTAACTGCTTATCTACTATCCCATTTTCAAGCTAAAAAAACACAGAACTTTTTAGCAGAAATCCGAGTTCTTGCAAGATTTTAACTTAGGATTTCTTGAAAAAATGGAGACTGGTATTGCTTCCTGTGCCCATGGAACACTCGTGCCCACTGTTTCTTCTCAACATTCCACCGCCATGGCCTCACCTCGTTCAATTGCTCCATCATTTTCCAGGGTATGTTTTTTTCTTTAAAGCATGACGCGTGCATGATTTTCATAAATAAGTGGCGGCAATTCTTCTATGATACTATGTTGTAAACCCGATAGGGGTTGCATGGACTTGATTATCGATTGATACTCTATGTTGAGCATTAATATTTCCATAGCTATAATAGCGTATATGATTCACCAGTCCTGATCTCCAGCCCCATTAGGTTGGATAAAACTGCCCACCGATGTGGCATCAGAGAACCATGACTAAGGTTCTTTTGCCACATTAATAGTGAGAAGTTTTTATCCTACCTACTGGGGGTAGGAGATCAATTCTATATTATTCAGATCATGAAAGATTTTTGGATTAAAAGTACTGAAGACGTGAGTACAAAATGTATTGCAGAGCCTCAAAGCAAGCTCCCTATTTGGAGAATCCTTGCGTATTGCACCAAAATCTTCGTTTAGAGTTTCAAAGTCGAAGAACTCTTCTCTTGTGACCAAGTGCGAGATTGGTGATAGTTTGGTGAGTTAAATTCAATAACTAGCTTAGTTCAAATGATTGATTGATAACCAGTTTAATTTAATCTGTTCGAAGGAAAAACTACATGAATCTGACATGTTCGGATGGATTCCTATGAAAAACATATTTGGTACACTGAATTGGACAGAGTGAAGGTTTGAATGTTCTTATGGTCTGTTGAACTTCAGGAAGAATTTCTTACAAAGGCGACCCCAGATAAGGGATTGATTAGGCTGATGATGTGCATGGGAGAAGCATTGAGAACTATTGCCTTCAAAGTAAGAACAGCTTCTTGTGGAGGAACAGCTTGTGTCAACTCTTTTGGAGATGAGCAGCTTGCTGTTGATATGCTTGCCGATAAGCTTCTATTCGAGGTAGGACTTGCTAATAGAACTCTCTCTGTGTTTTTCCGCCTCAAAAACAAGCTTTTTTGGGTATATTTGGTAAGTTGTACCCTGTACAACCAAGTACCGAAGAAGAAGCTAAAATCTCGTTTATTATAATTTCCAGTAATGGATCAAATATGCCCTAACTTCATATCAAGTTATTGATTTTTGCTTACAAAAACGAAATTTGAATGGCTTGTTGATTATTTTGAAAATGAGAATTAAGGATAAAACAGGGGTCATATGACCATCAGAGAATTCACTTCACTTTCAATGATGCAATACTTTCCTAAACTTTCCCTAGTAAAACTTCGAAGAAAGTATGTATATATAGATAACAGAAATCTATATCTTCGTACTGATAAGACAAACCTGAATGGCCTTCTAAATTTAATCTGATTCCATGAATTTTTTGTCGAGGAATTTTTTGTCGAGGCAACCTTACATACTTTTTGTTACTAACAAGTCCAATTGAGGTTATAAGATCCTTACAAAATTCAGGCTTTCGATTTCTTGATTCCTAGGCCTTGCAATACTCTCACTTCTGCAAATATGCTTGCTCCGAAGAAGTGCCAGAGCTCCAGGACATGGGAGGACCAGCCGAAGGTCTGCATTTATTCTTTTCAAACTTGAAATTATCTGCAGATAGGTTAAAAGATGCTTAGTCTCGAAATTTTGAACAGGTGGATTTAGTGTTGCATTTGATCCACTTGATGGTTCCAGCATTGTTGACACAAACTTCACTGTGGGAACCATCTTTGGAGTGTGGCCTGGAGACAAGCTTACAGGGATTACAGGAAAAGATCAAGTTGCAGCAGCCATGGGTATTTTTGGACCTCGTACTACATATGTTCTTGCGCTTAAGGACATCCCTGGAACTCACGAATTCCTCCTCCTTGATGAAGGTTTGAACATAGCATGTGTTCGGCTAAAGAGGGTTATTTTTTTAAAACAAGTTAGCTGTTTTTCGATTTTCAGTACAAATTTTACATTTTTTGACAGCAAGTTTTTATTTACCGAGTATTGACAGCAAAGGTGCCATACATATTTTTCATCGGTATATCTCTGGCAGGAAAATGGCAACATGTGAAAGATACAACAACAATTGGTGAAGGAAAAATGTTTTCCCCTGGCAATTTGAGGGCTACCTTTGACAATCCGGAATATGCCAAGGTTGTACATATAATGTTTTTTTCTTATAAGGTCTTGAATTATGCTTTCAATTGCTATTCTGCTGTTGAAAAATAATTTTCATATAAAGTATGCGCAACCTCGATCCTTCTCTTGATGGATTATTTTTTCTTAGGAGAGGTAGTGAGAAGAATTATTTAATGGAATTCGTTTGCATCAAGATCAAATTTCCTTCTTCACGACTCATTTCCTCGTGCATTTAGTCTTAATACATCTATAAATTTTGACATACTGATGTCTTTTCATTGACAGTTGATTGATTACTACATTCGGGAGAAATACACCTTGCGATACACCGGAGGAATGGTTCCCGATGTTAACCAGGTCTCTACATCTTTCCCCTACGAGGCCTTTGATAAAATCTTGTATGAATGTGATCGAGTGATTAATCAGGCTCAATGAAATACACACACGTTCACAGAGTCACGTTAACCTGTTTTCTCTATAAAGAAGAATTACATTATAATAGTGATGTAATGGTTATGTGTCAAATAAAACCGTGACTTACAAGTCCTTTATATATCATTGGCAGATTATCGTGAAAGAGAAGGGAATTTTCACAAATGTAACATCCCCAACAGCCAAAGCCAAGCTGAGATTACTCTTTGAAGTGGCTCCATTGGGATTCTTGATAGAAAAAGCCGGTGGATATAGCAGTGATGGAAAACAATCTGTACTTGACCGGGTCGTCACAAACCTTGATGACAGGACTCAAGTAGCGTATGGATCCAAAAATGAGATTATTCGGTTCGAAGAAACACTATACGGATCCTCCAGATTTAAGGTTGCTGAACCAGTTGGAGCAACTGCTTGAATAGAGGATCATGCCCTTTTAATTTCTTTTCCCAGTTATTAAGGTGGTTTGCACACAATATATTAATTTTTATGACATTTTTATGCAGATCTTATAAATGTAAAAAGGTGAGTTCAACTTTTTACGTTAAATTAACTAACCTTTTGAATTAAAACAGTTAGTAAGAGACTACCAGCATCAAAAATAAAAGATTGGGTTAACATTGAGAAGAAAAAAAATTTAGGTACAAAATTGCAAAAACGACTAAGGTTGAGACTAATATTCATCTCATATCGCATTATGGAAAGAGAGAGAGAGAGAGAGAGAAGAAAAAGCTTCAACATCATTCCATTTCTAATGACAGTAGAGCACATAAATTATCATCTGGCATAGTTTTACATAGTCTAGACGAAATCTGTACTAAGACATGAGGATAAACGAACTTCCTTTTCCTTGAAGCACTGTTTGTAACAGAAAACTAGAGAACCAGTTTGATATATCCATGCATTACATGCTATATTAGGAACTAGATTTCTGAATCTGTTATGAAGTATGCCCAACATATACAGCCTGCACAAGGATTATCCGTTAAGACTAAGTTGTGAACTTAATTATTGGAGTCATTGTATAATTTTGTTTGCCCTAATTCATCTTATAAATAAAGAACCTTCCTTAGGTTTTTTTTTTTTAATGATTCAAGTATCTAAGTTTCGCCGAAAGAAAGACTACAGAAGATAGGAGTGCAATTTTTTCTTGTAAACTTTTTTTTCATCATAGTGACTAGCACTGGGTGAATCAAATCGAAAAACAGACCAAATCAATCAAACCAAACCGACTCGGACCAATTTGGGTCTGTTTAATTCAAGTAATTGATTTGATTTGATTTATTTTAGACGAAACTATAGTAGGTTGGTTCAGCCATAGTTTAAAACCTCAAACCGTACTTAACCGAATCAACTCAATTCACTTACATGTTTACGTTTTTTAATAAAAATAAAAATCAAAAGATAAATCATTATTTCATAACTATATCTCGATTCCCTCCAATTTATGATACTGGTAGTAAGTAATAACACTGAAAATTTCCTTTCACAAACTTATTATATTATACTAGCATTTTTTCTACTCAGGCAGTCATGTTACACAATTCATAAAAATAAAAAATAAAAACAAAACAAAATTCTCAAATTTTCTGTTGATCTATCTCTCTTGATTTTTTTTCGTTAGTTAGTAGTTCTTGTAATATAAAGTTATTTGAGGGGACCCAAAATCTAGACATTTTTCTTAAAATTCAATTTGTACCAAAAATCCAAACTGACTAACCAAATCGAATCAAATCAAACCGAACCAAACTAAACTGATTTGGTTTGTGTCGGTTCGATTTAAGAGTTAGAGTGAATTAGTTTTTGTTGAAATTCATCCAAACTGATTAATTTGGTTTTTGTTTCAAGTTGGAATCAAAATCGATCCAAACCAAACTGTGCCCAATCCTAAATCCTAATAGTGAGGGAAGCAATATCACATTGAAATAAACCTCTATAAATCTTGAATATTCTTGAGTTTTATTTTTCTTTATTTTAATTGATTGCTCTCCTAAAATAGAATTGTGGTTTATAATTCTTAATAATAACAACCCATACCTGGAACCATAAAGCAATTAAAGCCACTCAGTAAAGTTTCATATGTACATAGAAAAAGTATCCAATGAGAAAATTAATTTTTGCAGTGACCAGACAGTCATGACAGTTCACATTGAAAGATTTGGAGATCAATCCTAACAATTAATCCATACAGTGACTAAAGCAAGTTGGAGCATAAGGGGTGTATTCCATTAGGGTTTTAGAAGATTTTTATAAACTTAATTTTAAGTGATGGATTTTTTAGAATCCCTTGGCCAAGTATAGTTTCCAATTTTCCCGATAATAATTTTCGACTTGGTTGAGACCATTAATCTTCGCAAAAACGCGATTTTTCTCAAAATAAAATTGGTTTTTCTAGCTCAGACTATGAAAGCAACTCTCTGTTTGTATCAACAAAGTAAAGTACTGTGGAAACTCCTGAATTTTGCACTAAATATTATAATCATTTTGCATCCACACAAGCCTACAAAGAGTGTTGGTGGTGGAGAATGTTGTCCCCATTGTGAGCCCAGTTAGGACTCTTCTTTTCCCTTTTTCTTGAGTGGAGTGATTAGTGTCTGTCTATGGGCATAGCCTAGAGTCAGATGGCTTAAACTTGCGGTCATGGGACATCGCCAGGAGGCAACAAGATGCCATCATTTGGTACTATGTCGGTCAAGAAGCTATTATGGTACTTTCTTTTAGTAGGCCTCGAAAACAAATGTAATGCTCGATCTCATGGCGAGCAAGGAGCAGTGCTTATGGAAAGTGAGACGCACAAGGATGAAGATGTAATGAATGGACCCTAATTCGAGAAAAGAACATGGCAATTGACAAACATGCTACTAGCTAGTTGAGACCGATAGAGAAGGTACCCTGAGATTCCAACCTAGATGAAAGTGAGTGATCGTTTTATAAAATTTCGTTATAATTTTATTGACTTTCAATTGGTCTAACTTCAATTATAGCCATATATTACGTGAAATTCTCAACTTTTATCAACTATGTATTACATTGATTTTTATCAAAATCTATTAATTTTTTTAATAAAAAAAAACTCTATCCAACAATCCCTCAGTATTATAGGCAAGTCGCAATTCTCACACTAGTAAGCTTTATGGGTTGAAATATGCAATGCATTGAGATGAAGTAAGACTTACCTCAAACTAGGAAGAGTGCACGAAGATTAATTAGATAAAGGGAAAATTGCAGCAGTCGTCCCAAATTTTTGAGTTTTTTGCAAACTTTACCCCAATCTTCAATTTGTACCATGAAAAATTAGCACCTAGAGTTCAAATGGATACTGTTAGTTGACCAAGAAAATAAAAAGTTGACCAATACTTATCAAATTGAAAAGAGTAAAATGGTATAACTACATTTTTTCAAATATTAACAATTAAGCCACTTTTTATCTACATTTTAACCGCACATTCCTTAGGACCCACTACTTATAATCAAATATAAACATTACCAAACATGGACTAATAATTAATCAACTTACTGTATTAACAAGCTAATGAATCTAAGTTTTGCCTCAGAACCTTACAATCAAATTTATGATGATGATTGCATTGTGAAGGGCTTATTGGTCTTCACACACCCTAATTTAGTACTTCTTCTCTTCCCATAATGCAATGTCATCAGCTAGTTCTAAAAAAATATATAATGGTATGATCGCAATGGCATGAGATAGATAAAAAACTATCCTTCCAATGCTGAAATAATTATGCATTACACAGTGGTGGCTGCTTCTTGTAAGTCACGCATACATAATATTATATTTTCACTCGCGATAGCAGACATTGGTGTTTAGTAACAAATTTAATTCTAATATCGAGCTCACAATAAATTTATCTACAAATATATTGATGTGTTATATCGTTGGTGCTTAGTAGATCATTTGGTTTAAGAGCTGATCGAGATTCAAGTTTTATTTCTAATGCTTTAACGGGATGCATGTGGGTGCAAAATAGTGCTGAGAAATTTTCCCGAAAAGACTCCGTGTGCATGTTTGTTACTGACTGCACTAAATAATATCATAGACAATATTCGAACTCAATCTTGAAAGATTATGTATTTTTGTATGTGGTCGATCTTGTTAGCACTTGTTTCTCATTTGTATGTATAATCGGAGCTTATGATTCAAGATCTTGCTAAGACTTTGAAATGAAGTTGAAGAAAGGACGTGTTATATTATGTGTTAAAAATCATGACAAAATATTGATACATTGATTCAAAGGCGGTCCAGAAGGTGTGGGAATTGAGCGACCGCACGAGGCGTCGTCATTGTAGGAGTACCAATTTGTGTGTGTGTGTGTACTAGTCTTTCCCCCGTGCGATGCACAAATTTATATTAAGTGATAAACAATTCTAATATGAGAAACATATGCTAATTGATTTTCCAATCCAATTAGATGCAAAACACTTCATAAAATTAACTTTCGAGTGAATGAGTAATTTTAAATAAAAATATATACACCACATAACTAATTCAAATTTGATACATTGCTTAAGCCTTTTTATGTACTCAAACCTTTGTTCAGATATTTCCTGAAACAGCAATATCAAAATTCAAACAAAAGTAAACAATTCAAATAGCCAAACTCAAAGCTCAACTTATTACCAAAAAAATCACATGTTTTACTTACCTTATATTTATTCTTAATTTTCAGCTTCTTGTTCAGTAATGCCACAATATCCTCTTTGGTGAGCTCAATTACACCACAATCCGAGCCAGAAATGCTTGGTAGGCCACTTGTCCGAGGCTGATCATGACCCCCATTAACCATTGAAAAGGCTTGTCGAGTTAGAGTTTTGTACCAGTGCTGGGCGGCATTTTTGTGCTTCCAAACTTTCGCCTTTTATCTAATGAAGCTTCGTCAACGTTATACTTGCTCTGGCAAAATCAGCAAAATCCCCCACAAAAATTCAAAAATATCAGAATTTGATTAACTTATAACTATCAATAAGAAACGCCATTTTCTCTAATTAACTTATAAATACAAAACGCTGCTCCAACAAAACCCGCATTAACATGTGCTCTGATGCCTGAATTCCAAACAAAAGCATTGGATTCATTCCAAGCACAGAAACAGAGCTATCAACAGCATTCAGTTCAACATATAAAGATATCAAAGGGGGAATTCAAGCCTTGCTTTAGAACTTGAAGGCTTTTGTAAGAATTTAGATTGGATACTAAAGAAAATAATTGGGGGTCTAAAAATAATTGACTTTACTTGCTTAGGAAAAAAAATTGGCCCAACTTCTCTTAATTAATTTTTTTTAGTTATCCTAATTTCCTAAAATAATAAATTTTGATCATCTAAATAATACGCTAGGAAACCAGAGCTATATTGAACAGAAATTTACATTACACGTTGCAAAAGTTCTATAATTTACAAC